GGGCCGTGTCCGATAGGATGTTGCCATGTTGTAGAAACAATCCTAAACTAATCCGAAAAAAAGGGAGACTAGACTTCTTGAAAAGACCCCACGAGTGTAGTCCGAGTTGTATTCTTGATAGGCCAAGGCTGCGTTCTTAAGCCCCATCCCTGGAAAAGAACTCGGTTTCGAAAAGAACTCGGGTAAGACTTCATTTCGGATCACGTAACTCGAGTTTGAGTCGGATCATTTGGAGCTAATTTCTAATAAAGTCAAGGTCAAATCACGAGTTGGATCGGACATCGCGAAAATCGAGTTCAACCGGTTTATAGCGGTTCGATTGCGTTAAGTGATCTTCCAACGAACCGATCTATCGTGAAACTCGTGTGGGTAAATAGAATGGTCTTCATGGTGATTCAATCCCATTTTCGATTGAGGAGATTCAATTTGTTGAACTTGGAGAGGCATGGTTTCTAGGGCCATGGAAAGAAGAGGTCTTGATATCGTTGTCGCAGAAATCCATGAGTCAAGATGAAGGTTGATCCGTCGAGAAGATCATGTTGTCGAGGTCCGTCAAGCTCTCGGATGCAAATTCGTCGTGAAGCCCCTACAGCGTGTTAGTTAGGTTGTCGATGTTTGACCATCGATAGCCTTCCACGCCACGGGGTACCAATGTGTTTGTAGCCAGAGCGCGATGATTTAGCAACTTCTTGCCAACTGTGCGGTAACTCGATGGTAAACGCAAGAGACGGTTGATTTATCCTCGGTTGAGACCTCGATCGTGATCGAGTAATAGCTCGACGATCCCTACTCATGAGATGTTGACGGCGTTAGCTTGAGCTTTGCGTTGGATTGATTGTCAAGTGTTGTGTTGTCCAAGTCCCTCTCTAGGAACCCCTAGTGCCTCCTTTATATATTCGGCGAGGCCGACCTCTCGCTCGATCCTAGTCGGCACTACTACAAAATGTTTATCCGCGGCGATCGTTTTTCAATTTCTTTCTTTCTCCGCTTGGATTCTGGGTCAAACCATTGTGCCCTTGGGTAAAGGGTGATATGTTGGACTTCGCATCCGATGACCTGACGTCAGGCGCTTCACCAATGAAATCGAGGACTTTCCATGAATACTTCTCGTGCGCGGAATTATTCCGCTTCTCGCGCCGGTTTCCACAATCGCCCAGTAGTTGATAACTTTAGTAGAGGCTTCGAGGTCACAGATCGAGTTCCTTCGATTTGTTGTTGTCGCGTGCCAATTAGGGGTACACCTATCCTCGTGAAGCCCGCCACGGTAAATCATTTGGAAAGTACGAGACCTTTCAAGAAGGGATCCTTCGGACCGTGTCCGAGCCCACACGGGCTTGGATCTGGAAAAGACCCGACCTAGATCTCGCCGTCGACGTCGATCCGCCGCCGAACTCGGGTAAGACTTCATTTCGGATCCGCCGTAGTCTCTTTGGATCGGACATCGCGAGTCGGCCACCATCGAGATCCGTCAGAATCCGAATGGTCTTCATGGTGATTCCTTCAAGGAACGCTTTGGAGCTTGCCATTGTCGATCCGCCATGGATGTAGAAGAGAAGATCATGTTGTCGAGGCGCCGAGCTCGCGGATGCAATCGAGCCTCCAGCGCGCTGCTTAGCATGTCGATGTTTGACCATGCCACCGCCACGGGGTACCGGATCCGCAAGAGACAGTCCGGGCCTTTGCGTTCCATGTTTTGTTGTCCAAGTCCTCTCTCTAGGAACCCGCCTCCTTTATATATTCAGAGGCCGAAATCCTAGTCGGCACTACTACAAAATGTTTATCTGCGCCGGTTTTGGGAGAAGAAGTCGAAGGAGGAGCTTGCGGTGGATCCGGCCTCCACGGCCATTTGGAAAAAGAAGAAAAGCCCACGGGATCCGCCTAGATCTCGCCACACCGATCCGCCGCAGAGCTCTAGCGCAGCTTCCGCCGCCTCTCGGATCTCGCCGCCCGATGAGAAGGGAAAGGAGGGGCTCAGATCAGCCTCCCAGGATCCGCCTCGCCACCGGGGCCTCCACCGGGCCGCCAGCGCCACCATCTGCCGGATCCTTGCACGATCCGGCCCTCGGCCAGGCCGCCGCCGCTGGATCTCTCGCTCTGGAGAAGGGAAGGGAAGGAGGGGCTCATGGCAGATCCGCCTCCTCCCACGCCACCACGCCACCGCCGGGACCCGCCGGCCGTCCACACTGGATCCGGGGAGCGCCTCGATCCACGCCTCGATCCGCCACCGTCTGGACTGTCCGTCCACCGGATTCGCCCTCGCCTCGATCCGCATGGATCCACATCCACCGGCGCCCTTTCGCCACTGCAGCATGCGCGCCGCGCCTCGAGCCTCGAGCCGCCATCCACCGCTGTTGAGGGGAGGGAAGGAGGAGGAGGGCCGCCCGGTTGAGGAGGATGAGGAGGAGAGGAAGGAGGAAGAGGAGGATGTGTGCCTCCTCGTCTGAGAGGACCGAGAGAAGTGGTGGCTACCGCCGGTTGAGGGAGGAGAGGATCGGAGGAGAGGGAGAGAGTGGCTGCCGGTTGAGGGAGGAGTGGTGGAGAGAGAGAGGTGGAGTGAAAACCCTAAAACCCTCGTATATATAAGCCCGATAAATCAGAATTGGATGCGGGCCTCGCTGGTGTGCCTATTGGGCCGTGGCCTTTTCCGTGGCGAGCCTTATAATGTGTCCGCCACGGAAAATCGATTTATCGTGGCGGGCACCTTAAGACGGCCGCCACGGTTAATAGGGTATTTTCTGTGGCGGGCATCTTAATATGCCCGCCACGGTAAATCGTTTTACCGTGGCGGGCAAAAATGCCCGCTGCGGAAAATAAAAAGTGCCTTCCGCGGTAAATCGTGGGATTTACCGTGACGGACAAAAATAGGAGCCCGCCACGGAGACCTTCGGGACGACGCTGCGCAAATTGAATTTTGTAGTAGTGCGGTTTACAATGAGAGTTCCTAGTAGGATTACAGAATAATACTACTACTAAGATTACATAGGGAAGAATCCTAGTTAGACTAGATCTTCTCTCTTCTTTGCGGGGTATCCCGTGGGTCCCGCATCGACAGGAATGGAGGCGCCGCAAGGGATGGCAGCGGCGGCGCGGCGGAGTTGGGCGAGCGGACGCAACCATGAAGCCGCGACGGCCAAAGCGAGGGAAATTTCTATCACAGCGTTCTTAGTAGAGAGTAGAGAGATCGGTAGAGCATAGAGGGGGCAGGTCGATTTGCAAAAAAAGAGGGGAGCAGGTCGATTGCGTCTTGGGTCAGACCGCTGCATAAGGCCCACGAAAACATGGCGTCCAGATAAACGGATGCTGGGTCGTGAGCATTAAGGTTAACCTAACTCATGAACATCTAAACCGAATCATTACATGTGATTATATACGACGATGCCTTAATTGTGGACTGCATGCATGCTAACATCCCCATGCTTTGCCATTCTTCGGAGGTGTGTATTATTCGCTAACTATAAGCGTAGCGTACGTAGCCAGGATTTTAGGATAGTAATAGGGTCTAATAACTTTGCCCAAAAATTTGAGTACTGCGATGCGAATGTAATAACCAAGTAGTATACTAGTGCAGTAAAATACACCAAACGCGGATACGTTCATGCATCTTAAAATGAACACAAGTCAGCGTACCCTTTTTCTTCAATTTTCTCTTTTGACACAGCCGCAACCATGTGATATAATATGGAAAAGAAACCTCCTTTTAATTTGCTACAATACTTCATCTATTCTTTTTTAACTATCGTCCTCGTCACTTACTAAAAAATCAAATGTACTAAATTAATATTTATAATATATAATTAGTGTCACTTAGATGGATCGTTAGAATCTATTTTTATAACAATAAACTAATTTGAAGGTATACATGTTGCTAATATTTTCTACAAACCTCCAGAGAGGGCCTTATATTTTTAAAGGTTATACTACTTGTTCAAATCATGGGTCTAGACTGCTTGTGCAACCAAGAACCAGAAACAATAGATAGATCATCTATGCATGCATTGTCCTTTTGCAGAAGCAGTCTGGGAAAGAATTCGAGCATGGCACAGGAATGCCATCACAATATAACATCAGAGGAGGACTTAGCTTAGAGATATGGTGGGCAGATTCTCTAAATGGACAAACCAAGCACCTATAAAGAACTACGCAAGCTAGCATTCGTACAGACTTGCAAAAGAAATGAATCATCACATGGAGATGCGCTCTGTTCGCTTGGCTTATAAGCCGCGTTTTTAAAGTCAACTTTTTTTTCAAATTTCGTAACGAATAATATTTTTCTCTCACACCAAATCAAAGAAAAATAATACTTTCAGTGAATATTTTCTCTCTCACAACAAATCAGTAAACAATACTTTCAACGCGAATTTATCTTTGATCTTTGTCCCATGCTGCAAAAAGCACCTCCATCCCCCATCTCCTTTTACTAGAAATCAGCATTAAGATCATCTGTGCAGTGCTTGCTCTCTGCAGAATAAACTCTTCGTGCGGTTCAGACACTGAAAAATCTAAGTACGGAGAAGGAAGATCTAGGAGTGCAGGAGCACGAGCAGCCCAACAGCAGATGATCGCCGTCTCAGTCCTCACGGCTTCCTCAGTTCCTCGCGCGGTCGCGCCAAAGGAGCGGAATCCGCGCCAAAAAAAGAAACGCTGCTGCGTGCGGAGAAGGTGCCGCGCCTGGGCTCAGCGAGGAGAACGTCTTAACAGGCCGTGTTGTTGGGCCTACGCAGCGTGCGAAGGAGGTGCAGCGCCTAGGCTCAGCTGCTCCCTTGGATTGCAGTGAACGGCAGATATGCATCGACTGCAGGGAGCAGTCACGGAGGGCGACGTCTCCACCGTCGCGTCGCCGCCGCCACAACTGCTCTGGGGCTTATTGGCGACCTGATGCCGGTGACGGGAATCGCGGGAAGGCCAGCCATCCAGTCGCTCTCCTTTGGCCGAAGCCGAGAGAAGCTGGGCGGAGATCCATCTAGCTCGTCGTTTCCTGGCGGTGAGCAACCCTAGCGAGCATGTCGTCGCGGCTGTGCGTGAAGAACCTGCCCAAGGGCGCCGACGAGAGGCGCCTGCGGGAGGTGTTCTCGCGGAAGGGCGAGGTCACCGACACCAAGGTCATCCGAACAAAGTAAGCAAGCTGAGCAACGAACTATGTTTGCTCTCTTACTTGGTTAGTGTAGGAGGCGAAGTGGGATGCCGCCTTCTCTCGTCTCCCTTACCCGAATGAATTGTATTTTAGTGGAAAGAATATGCTTGAAAATTGAGCTTTCGCTTTTGGGCAGGGATGGCAAGAGTCGGCAATTTGCATTCATTGGTTACAGAACCAATGAAGAGGCAGAGGAGGCACTCAAGTATTTCAACAATACATACATTGACACTTGTAAGATCACCTGCGAGGTACTTTCCTTTCTAATCGTTTTCAACAAATTTTCTCCTCGATGCCGTGCTAACAGTTTGGTGAATTGTCTGTACGAGATTGAATTGGACAGCGATGATGTCCGTACCTTACATCTGTCATGTTATTTGGCAGGTTGCCCGAAAGATTGGTGACCCTGATGCTCCTCGCCCCTGGAGCCGCCATTCTTTGAAGAAGCCAGAATATGGTAGTAAAGACAAGAATAATGCTGGAGTTGTTGATGCACTGCCAAAAGGTTCCAAGGCCCAAGGAACATCAGCTCATGCTAGTGGTTCTAAAGGCAGTGTAGCCAATGATCCCAAGTTCCTGGAGTTCCTTGAAGCTATGCAGCCCCGTTCTAAAGCCAAGATGTGGGCGAATGATACAGCTGCTACTCTTGACACCGCTGCAAAAGATAGCGTAGTAGCCACTAAAGAATCTAAGGGACCTCTCAAAAATGTTCCAGCCTCTGAGAATGATTCATCTTCTGAAGACGCCTCTGATGAGGAAATGGCAAATGATCCGTCTTCCGAAAATGCTTCGGAGGAGCTACGGACAGAGAATAAACAAGACAAGAATATGACTGATGCAGATTTCTTCAAGAGTAAAGTGAAGAAAAATTGGTCAGATTCTGAATCAGATGATGAAGGTTCTGGTGACCAGTCAAATACCACCACTGACGATGAAGACTCGTCAGATGAATCACAAGATGCTGATAACCAGTTGGCGGATCTGAAGGGCAATCTGGACAAGAAAAACGTTGTGGACAAGGACACTCTTGTGGAGAATACCGACTTGCAAGAGATGGAAGATCTTGACAACAAAGAGAGTGAAGACCTTGATGGCAGACGAAGAGAAACTGAAATTCGTGAAGATCAAGAAAAGGAAGATGAAAATGGTGCTCCAATTACTGATGAAAAGAAGTTAGCCCTGGAGACTGGTCGTCTATATATCTGCAACCTTCCATATGCAACCAGGTATGTTGCTGTTGCCTGGTCATGTTACCTTGGATCAGCGTTTTGTATGTTGTTTTTGTATATTCATGATACAGCTGCATAGTTTTTTTTTTTATTGTTGCTTATTTTCTCAGTGAAGATGATTTAGTGGAGCTGTGCTGCCAATATGGTGATGTGGAACAGGCACATATTGTTGTCGATAAAACCACAAAGCTCTCAACTGGTAGAGGCTATGTGCTTTTTAGCCTTCCAGACTCAGCAGTCAGGTACGGATTTATAATTTCAATGTACAATTGTGAACTTTAGGAGCTAGGACTTGCGACAGGGGCTTTCTTGCAATGTGACAGTCTTCCTTTGGATATCCTTATTTATTATTTAAGACATAATTCACCATAGTTGGCTCATATTTGTTTTACTTTTTATTCTCCTGCACATAGTTCATACTCGTCCCTAAATAATTACTAAGAGATGTTAACAATTTGAAGGCACAAGTTGAACGATGTCTCAAACTTCTCCCACATTAGATGCATATCCAATTCAATAGTGAATATTTTAATCATAATTTGAGACACAATCACACCAAAGAAATGCAATTTTGTGAGTTTTGGGACATAATTGAATCTAGGACCTATCCTCTTTAAGACTACATGTGCAGGTTTCATACACGTCCTAGTTACTGAACAGTTATCAATATGTGAGCAAGAAGTTGGCTGAGACATGTCTTATTTTCCATGCTTGCATTGCTTGCTTGCTTGATGGTACATTGACCATTATATACCTACCTAATATTGAACTGTTATTTTTGGCAGGGCACTTGATGAACTAGATAACTCAAGCTTTCAGGGCCGAGTGTTACGTGTTAAGGCTGCTAAACCGCTAAATAATAATAAGTTGGAGTAAGAAAATAAAGTTCTGTTTGTGTTGTTACTTGTTAGATTAGTTACACCTATAGTTTTTACTGATTTGCTATTGAATTGTCAAGGTCTAATCATGAAACTGTTGTCGAGAAAATGAGTCTCAAGCAGAAAAGGTTGGAACAAAAGAAAGCTTCTGAGATCAGTGGGGATACGAGAGCATGGAACAGCTTTTATATGCGTCAAGATACTGTATGGTTCCCTCCTATCTTTGACATTAACAGTTTTTTTGTCTGTGTCCAGTGTCAGCTCGATACTCCTCTGATATGTTTCTGAGATAATGTATATAGATACTGACCCACATGATCTTGTCAAGTATGTCTAATGATTGGGCTTTGCTTTCCTTCTTAGGTTGTTGAAAACATTGCAAGGAAGAATGGTATCAGTAAGAGTGAGTTACTTGATAGAGAAGCGGATGACCTTGCCGTTCGTATTGCTCTTGGTGAGACACACGTCATTGCAGAGACTAAGAAATTTCTATCAAGGTCTGGAGTTAATGTTGCTGCATTGGAAGAACTTGCTTCTAAAAGAAACGAGAAGTTCAAAAGAAGCAATCATGTGATATTAGTAAAGAATTTGCCATTTAATTCTACTGAGGAAGAACTCACAGCAATGTTTCAGAAACATGGTAGTTTGGATAAAATCATTCTACCTCCAACAAGAGTATTTGCCTTGGTATGTTAGTATATTCTAGTTGTGTTATCCAGCTGTTTTTGTATATTGCAGCACCTTATGTTTTTACTGTACTTGACTTCTTTTTTTTCTAACTTCTGTCACTTTTCACAAGAGTGTCTGAATTGCACAAATATTGCCCCTCGAATTTATTTATCTTGTATTACATTTTGGTGTATCAGGTAGTCTTTGTTGAAGCAACTGAAGCCCGACACACATTCAAAAAATTACTATATACGCGATACAAGTAAGTTCCTGCAATAGTTTTAGTTTTTATTTATTTCAGTGGCCATTACAGCTTACAAACTTTTGCATTTGCAAGCTTGGTTCTTTTTCCCTCTATGAAGATGTACCAGCTCCAATTCTCTTGGCAATTGGTGTATCTACTGTTATTTATATAACATTTGCTTGATTTAATTGACTACTTTATTTAGCTAAGATAAATTGCTGTGATAAATTGGTTCTTGCTTATGGTTATGTCATGTTATTTGGTAGCTTGCTAGATTGTTTTTTATTTTCACAAATGCATGTTCTGTATCTTAAACTTTTGTGGTGCAGGGATACTCCTCTGTATTTGGAGTGGGCACCTGAAAACATATTATCTCCTACCTCAGCTCCAGTGGATGAGGAAGAAAAGAATGAAGTTGGCGAGCGTATTGTTACTAAATCTAATATAGAGCAAACTGTCGAAGGAGTAAGCGCTGAAGAGATTGATCCAGATAGGGTGGAGGTTTGAAACTTCAACTTCTTTGCATGAATATCATTTTTACTCGTATGCTTGGCCCTCATACCTCTTTATTATATTCATATGGCACTAGGGTTTCCTATGGCAAAAACTTGTGTTGCCAAGTATGCACCTGTTTTTGCATGTGAATTGCTGCATTCCAAGATCGCTTAAAATTATTTAGTTGCTTATTGGAGTCAATTTGAAGGGCGGGCCTGGTGCAAGCGGTATTTACCGTTGCTTGGTTCGGAAGGTCTCTCGGATTGCATCATGGGGTCTCCTCGCAGTCAATTTCTGTTCTTAGGCGGAGGCTCTCTGCACTGGGTACGCCCTTTTTATTGGAGTCAACTTAAAAGATACCATTATTCATTGCAGTCACGATCTGTGTTTGTCAAGAACTTAAATTTCAAGACAACAGATGAATCGTTGAAGCAGCATTTCAGTACAAAGCTAAAGAGTGGCAGTCTTAAAAGTGCAACGGTATGGATTATTGGACGTGCTCTTATTATGGATATCAGGTGCATCTTGCAGCATACTGCTTTATCCATTTTCTTTGTCTGTCTTTAGGTGAAGAAGCATGTTAAGAAGGGCAAGACTGTTTCAATGGGATTTGGTTTCGTTGAGTTTGACTCTGTTGAAACTGCAACAGGTGTGTGCAAGGATCTACAGGTAGCGCTCATCCCTCCTCTTCTGTTTTCCTTAGGGCCTGTTTGGATTCCCTCCTCTAAACTTTAGAGCTCTAAAAACTTTAGAGCTCTTTAGCTCACTTTTGAGATCTAAAGCTCTAATGTGAGGTGAGCTAAAGTTTAGAGCTAATTTTAGACCACTTGTTTGGAGCTTTAGCTCTAAAGTTTAGAGAAGATCCAAACAGGCCCTTATTTGCTTCTTTCTGTTAAATGTTCATATAGATGTGCAGCATGCTAAATGTTCCTTTGGTTCATAGGGAACGGTTCTGGATGGACATGCTTTGATCTTGCAACTGTGTCATGGGAAGAAAGATGGTCAAGCTGCAAAGAAGAATGGCAAGGATAAAAGTTCAACAAAACTGCTTGTGCGTAATGTAGCATTTGAAGCAACTGAGAAGGACTTGAGGCAGTTATTTAGTCCGTTTGGCCAGGTCAGCGTCCTCTTTTTTCGTCTGAATTTAGAGGAAGTGCCAACTTGGGACCAATGGCAGACTGGTAGTTAATGAGGTTAAATTTTGTTGAATATTAGTCAAGTTTGTCTTTTCAGTTCTCCTTGACCAACAGAAAAAAAACATTAGTTTCAAGTTGATAAGTGATTTTACTCTTTTTCCCCAGAAACCTCCTGATTTGAATTCATTAAAATTTGCAGATCAAAAGTCTCAGGTTGCCTATGAAGTTTGGAAGTCACAGAGGTTTTGCATTTGTCGAATATGTCACAAAACAAGAGGCCCAGAATGCTCTACAAGCCCTCGCAAGCACTCATCTCTATGGTCGCCACCTGGTAATTGATGAACATGTCTCCCTCAAGCTTGCAATCTACTTTGCATCGTAATAATTTTTAAATCAAACTTCCTGCCTCCACTTCAGGTGATTGAGCGGGCAAAGGAAGGAGAGACTCTTGAAGAACTGCGAGCAAGAACGGCTGCACAGTTTGTGGATGAACACAGCGGTTTCCAGAGCTTGTCGAGAAAGAGGAAACAGAGCAGTCTTGTGGACGATGGCTCTGTTAAAATTTCAAGAATAGTAGAGTGATTTTTTGAGCTGAGTACGCTGAAAATTTTGACTATGCTGTGCAATAGTACCATTTTGTTAGGAAAAATTGGGTTCTCTTAGGTTGCTTAATGTATGTGTGCTGTTTTAGAGGTGAGGGGAAGAAATGCTGAAAAAGATCCCACAACCTGCAAAATGCAAGACCTGTCTAAATCAATTTTGAAACTAGCCGATCTGATATGGTAGCATATCATATGCATCGCAAGCGTATTTCTACAGCCTGTCGGTCTCCAGTTTATAACTCTACATACAGCACGATCTCAAATTTTATACACCACTGAACTGTCACGTCTCATCTAATCTATGTTTCTTTCTCTATACTTGTGTATACCTCTCTGTAACAGATGCAGAACGTGCAAGATCTGTGTGAACCGCTGTCATGTACACTGTGGCACTTTTATATCTCAAAACTCCGTCGATGATGGCTTTGGATAACTTCAGCAAGTGTGGAAAGAAGGTTAGTTATGCTGCATTCTCATCGTGTGAGATATAGCCACGTGAAACTGAAGATGCTGTCACATGCCTAGCTACGCTTGCTGGGCCTCCTCCGTCCTCAGCGGCTGGTTCTCGTTGTGCTGGCTGTCCAGGGGCATGTACTGCGCCATGATCGCCATGATCTCCGAGTCCATGTATCGCTGCAACACAAGACACGGGGCGAATCCACGGTCAGGAAGAAAGAAAGAACCTGTGTGTCTGCCTGGATTTGGATTTGGTAAGAGATCGTTCGGTCCCTACTCTTAGCCTGAACTTGTAGAACAGGTATCCGGCGATGCCGGCGCCGGCGACGCACGACAGGACCAGTGCGGTGACGAGCCACCCGAACGCCGACATGTTCTTGGCTGGACGTTGAAAGCCGAGTATTAACTCTTCAGAGACAGCAAGAAGAATAACAGAAAGAGGAGCAGAAGGAGGAACAGAAAGGTTCTTGATGATGGCTCACCAATGCAGGTGTCTTCGTTGTTGATGTAGATCATGCCACTGTTGCACCTGCAGTCGAAGCCGCCCCACGTGTTCTTGCACGAGCAGTGCGGGCAGGAGCACGCCAGCTTGTCTCGGCACTCGTCGACGTCTGGAATGCCCAACAGGAATCAGTAAAGGCAGGCCAGGCAAGCTCAACTCGTGCAATTCTCGCGTAGATTTACAGGGAATCGGAGCAAGGTGAGTCCATATATACCTTGGCAATGGAAGCCGTCGCCCTTGAACCCCGGCGGGCACTTGCACCCGCTCAACTCTGAATCCTGCACACGCCAGAAGCGTCAGAGTTTCAGATCATTCTGAATATCACGCCAAAGGAGGTAACACAGGAAACGCTATTCTGAGCAGAATTACCGAGCAGGCAGAGAAAGTTTTCCCTTGTCTCGTCTCCTTCCAGCACCCTCCATTGTCCATGGCGCACCGGCCCGGTCCGACGGCTGATGATGCAACGGAGGACAGATCGAAAATCCAGTCAAGTTCAGTCTTCAGTGGTAGAATGAAACGACTGTGAGCAATACTGATGGAATGTTTGGTACCTTTGCAGTCGGTGTACCCGTCGCCTTGGTACTGAACGCCATCCACCACAGGGCACTGGCAGATCCTCCCTCTGTAGGTGTCCTGCTTCCATTCCAGCACGCAGTCGGTTAGTAGGCAGGCAGGTAGCGCTCAAGTGTTGTGCACACCAAGGAACTTCGTTGGAGGAAAGGGTGGGTACTGGAGTAGTACTACCTTGCAGGCCGTGGTGTTGGTTTTCTCGTCGCGCCAGCAGCCGCCGTTGTTGTGGAGGCACTCGTCGGTTTCCATGCCTGAAGAAATTGCAGAGGTGAGTTCAGCGATCGGAGACGAGTACTGATTACTGAACTGAAGGAATTGCTCGAGTGTAATGTGGTGGTTTCATCTGCTGAGGTAACTGACCGGGCGTCAGGCAGACATGAGGTTCAGTGGACTCCTTGAACCCGGCACAGATAGCTTTGAGAACCGCAGTGCTTTCCAATTTGCCTGAAAATGCCAAATTGTTCAGAGAAAAGCGACACGGCATGGTCTCATCTTGTGATCAAAACTGGAGGGCTCGTACGTCCATACCTCGATACTGCACATTGTTGATCACCAGCGTCGGCAAGATCGTCACGTCCCCTCGACCTCCATGCCCGACCTACAAGAACCGAAATCTCACCATCAGCTTGTGAATGTGCAAAACATGTGAGCAAAATTGCTACCAAGAACACGCCACTCCCGGCCGAAATGGACGCTTGCCATTTCAGAATCAGCATGACAGACTGACAAACCTGAACAATTTGCTCCGTCCTGAGCACGTCGTTCTCGGCGTCGGCCTCGGGATCCCCCATGCACTTGACGATCATGTCCATCGGCAAGCCTGCAACGCCGAAACCATATCAGCACTCCAGCCCATCGACGGAGCAGGGAGGGGAAAAAACTCTCTTCAGGGTCAGAGCGCGCACGGACCAAGCGATCGGACGACGTCCTCGGCGCAGGCGGTGCTGTACTTGTGGTCCTTCATAGAGCAGCGGAGATGGTAATCGGTCACGTAGTCCCACCACACCCAGGGCCGGCCGGAGGCGTTGGCGACGCGGTGCACGCAGAGCTGCCGGAGGTTCTCCACCACCACGTCCTTGCCGTCGTAGCCGGCGCCCAGGTCGCCCTCCGGGTCGGGCGCGCAGTATCGGCCGCGGTTGATGCACTGCGCCTTGCACTGCGGCGTCTCCAGGAACGCGTTGGGGCAGAACCAGGTGATGTAGTGCGGGGTGAAGAGCGCGTAGCCGCCCTTCTCCAGCAGCTGTGCGTGGCCCCGGAACGCGCGCACGAACGCCGCCTGCTCGTCGCACCGGGGGCCGCACTCGTCGTTGCTGTTGGTCCAGAACTCGTACTCCACCCGCTCGTCGGGGTGCGGCATCGACTCGCGCCAGTCCAGCCGCACCACCACCTCCTCCTTGGACTTGGACCCGTCGGACGCCGCGCGGCGGAGGGCGTCGCCGAACCGCTTCGACACCAGCGCGGACGGCACCGTGATGTTGGCGAGGAACGCCATGTCGGGGGTCTCCTCCTCGGGGCTGTCCATCGTCAGCAGCGGCTCGTCGGCGCTGTCCGCCACCAGCACGGCCGCCGCGCCGGCCTCCTGCGCGTGCCACGTCTTGAGCGCGAAGTAGCAGCCCCCGCGGTCCACGAGCAGGACCACGGGACGCCCCGACGGGGACCTGAACTTCTCCCCGCCGAACGGCTCGCAGGCCGTGGCAAGCTTCGCGTCCGGGTACAGCACCACGCCGGTCAGCGTGCCGCCGTAGTCGGGGACCCCGTAGTTGGCGATCGCGGCCTCGTGGTGGCCGCGCAGCGAGCGCGGGGACAGCACCTTGATGCTGTTCTTCTCCACGATGAACCGTGCCGATGCCAGGCTCGCCATGGTCACCACCAGCACCAGGCACGCCACGGCGGTGAGCCTCCTCTCGTGGCCTTGGACGTGCAGCGCCATCGCCGTGTTCCTTGGGGACCCCGGCCCTCTCGGTACGTGTTGGTTTGGCAAATCCTGTAGTTCGTTAGAGGCGGAGACTTAGTGGAGACGGCATATGGAGTTTTACGAAGGTGGTAGAGAGGAAGCGAGGAGACCGACTAAAAAGTTTTGGCTCCTGTCATTATATCTTCATGGAACATGTCATTATATCTTCATGGAACAGCAAATTCTTTGGCAGTTTGCGCATAAATTAATAAACTGAAATCTGGACCGGTAAAAGTTTGAATCTTTCTGCGCTATGTCGCCGTACATGGCCTTGCGTTGACCTGTAAAAGCTTGTTAAGAAGTCTATCGGCTTCGTTTGCGTGCCCTTAAACCTGACTTCCGGTTCTTTTTTCATCCGGAACAGTATTTTTCTCTCATAAATTTCTCTAAATTCCTCCCAGCGAACGGGACCATTATTTACCACAAAAGAAGTCTTTTATTTCGCTCGCGCGAACCCAAAAACAAGTGTCCCCTCGCAACACAAGAAAAAGAGGGGCAGGAATGACATCGCTTGCATTGCACATCATGGTACAATAATTTGTTTGAACAATTCGTTGGTGACACTGACATGTGAGTGTTGCAATTGCAACCAACCATCCAGCTCTTGCGGTCAGTCAGCGGGTGGGCCGGGATGATGATGACAACTGGGCGTGTGGGATAAGCTACATGCGCAAAGACGATTTCAAATGAAGACCGACTCAAAAGGCCGTCAGGTCACTGATCCAATAACATAGAAGTATTACAGAGAATCAACATTAGTTCTTGAAACATGCTACAAAAAATCCGGCCCAGTACTCGTCCTCTGGTTTAGTACCGCACACATGATGTTATCACAAATCTTGTTGTTTCAGTCTTTAATAATTTTATCAGCTCCTGTGGCAGCCCCATATCCATATGGGTGACACCAAATGACAATTCATATGCTCCCTAACTGCTCGACAAAAAATAAGCCGATGAGAACATGGGTTCTTTGGGGATGAATAGTGTCCCAGATTTCCTCGCACGTATGAAAATTTCAATGCAATATGAAAAATAAGAGGGCAGGAATGACATCGCTTGCATTGCACATCATGGTACAATAATTTGTTTGAACAATTCGTTGGTGACACTGATATGTGAGTGTTGCAATTGCAACCAACCATCCAGCTCTTGCGGAAAAAAACACTTGCACGAAAGCGCCACCGAGCCAATCCACACCATAGGGTCAACAGCCACAGCGGGTGGGCCGGGATGATGATGACAACTGGGCGTGTGGGATAAGCTACATGCGCAAAGACGATTTCAAATGAAGACCGACTCAAAAGGCCGTCAGGTCACTGATCCAATAACATAGAAGTATTACAGAGAATCAACATTAGTTCTTGAAACATGCTACAAAAAATCCGGCCCAGTACTCGTCCTCCGGTTTAGTACCGCACACATGATGTTAGCGAACGCGAAGTCAACTGCTATCTTATTGTTTCACGAACAGGATGATGTGCACATGAGTACGTGAGCACCAGTGGACTTGTAATAATTTTATCAGCTCCTGTGGCAGCCCCATATCCATATGGGTGACACCAAATGACAATTCATATGCTCCCTAACTGCTCGACATTGGTTCCAAACATGGGCGATAAGCCGATGAGAACGTTCTTTGGGGATGAATAGCTTGGGAGAAGTTTCTAACAATAAACATCAGATGCAAGGCAAGAATATGCAGTCCTAAAATGGCATGAAGGTAGAGGTTCAACTATTATCAACTTTATCAGCTTTTGAAACACCTCCATTGTTACCATACTACACATGCCTAATCAGCAACTCGAAACAGTTCACCACGATACCATGTGAAAATGAAGCAAAACCTCAGCAATTTCAGTACTTGACATTTATACCCACGAAACAGAAACAGCTGGTAGGTCACCTCTATCATTTTTCATACTCATTTCAACATATTAGTAGGCGACCCAAGAATGGACTTAGGTGTGCATGACTGTCGTTACATTGATTGTTCAAACTGGAAACAAAACACATCATGATTTATAAGACAATAGGCTTTTACGCCTCTACTTCTTAAAAGAAAACTTCCCCTTCTTCCTAGCTTTTCTCTTGTCTTTCTTGATCTTCAAATGAAGCTGTACCTTCTTCTTGCTAATGGTGCCAAGTGGCTTCAACAAGGTTTTAGACCTGTTGTTCCCTTCGTCAGACATCTCCACATCTGTATTCATGAATCATGAGAGCACAGAACACATCAGTTGGGGAAAAACAAGATAAGGTGCAAATGAAGTTGCAGGAAGAGAAAACAACAGGATCCACAAAGGGTTAACTTGCTATATGTTGATGATGAATTGGGTGCCTCAGTATACATTGACAGGCATTCATAACAAAAAGCCAAGTCCAAAAACAATTTGCATGTTATTTAATCAAGCATTTGAATTTTGCTAAATGGCATCCCCAAGTTCAAAAGGTTGCAAGATTATGGTAACCAGCACCGTCCATGCAAAACATCATAGAACTTCTTAGTTCCTTTTCAGACACGTGCTAACTACTAAGGTCACCATATTTCTAAATATGAGAACTAAATATCAATTCAATAGTTGCCAGTTTTTGAAATAGGTACGATTTATGATTTTTCTTTCTCAACATGGTTCACATCATCCAATCCAAGTGGTAGCAACAAGGTATGTACTAAGATGGCACACATATCAGGGCTTAACTGCAAATTTATATACGGCAGCTTACCCATAGATCTTTACAATCAGGCCAATCCAAACCCAGACCAAGCTAATCAATCAAATGTACAATAAGGTTGCAACTCGTAGTAGAATACCAAAGCCTCTCCAAATAACAAAAAGATCTAAGCATGATGGCACACAATTTGCAAAGGTATATTAAGTTTGTATTCCAGGACTAAACTATTAAGATACTTCTTACTGAGCTAATTTGTTCTTTTTTTGAGAGAGCTAATGTGTTATTATGATTGTTACTGCATGCTTCGATCCAGACAGCTTAAATAATTGTCATCGAGATCAAATTCACAGCCCCCACAGTTAGTAGTACAGAATACAGACGCAGCTCCGGATAGAAAATCACACAGTGGACACTAACCATAGTGTTTTAACTGATAACAAACTGAACCGTGAATGAACAGCTAGCACACAAGGCGCGTGGAGGAATTCCAATTCCACCTGAAACTACAGGAGGCAATCCATGGCGGCTGGTGAAACATAAAAGTTTTATAGCGCTCACCCATAGCCGAGGCCGAGCTAGCGCCGCGGGAGCTGCCGGCATCCTGGGACGGCGGGGGCTCCGCGGACCTGGAGCGGGGGAGCAGCAAGGGCAGCGGCCTGCGCCGCGAGCTTGGCGGCCTCCTTCTTGTCGTAGAAGGGCTCCGCTATCTCCCGGCGCAACGTCCGCAGCCGCTTCTCCCGCTTGGATCGCAGAGACTTCGCCATCTCCGCCGCCGCCGCAACAAGCGAGGCTAGGGTTTGGGAGTCGGCGAAGCGAGAGCCGGAGTGCGTTTGCCTTTGCTTTGGTTTTGTAGGAAGGAGGGTTATCTAAACTTGGGCTGGGCTTAGTGGCTTAGTACTTTTTAGAATGTAATATGGAATTGACGATGCCACCAAATTGGGTGCGATGGGCCACTTGTTTCTAGACCGGCCCAAATCGGTGTTTATGGATTAACTTAACTTTCCAAATTTTAGCTGAAGTCTGATTTGTCTCTCCTAATCACAAAACTGGTGTTTTGACTTCCTTTAACTTTTGAAACCATTCAAATTAACTCAATATGTGGTTTTGAAAACGGTTTGGCTGATACGATGGGCGTAAATCGAACTACATTAATAGTTCAGAGATTAGTTAGACTTTACTAAAAAAAACGATAGAAAACATGCAATTAAAAACTTACAATCTAAGTTGACCCCATGTATTTATTTCAATTACTTTCACACAAAAATCTAGAGGACGGCCTGTCCAAACTCAGGCTCAAACCAAAAAGCCAGACCGGCACGAGCGGTGTGATGTTCATGGGCAAAATACTTTGAACGAAAAAGGGCCTTTTATGCTCGGGTCTAATAGATAGCGAGAGCATTTCTAGCAAATAAACATCAAAAGGAGACCATACAAGATTTAAATAATTTCAAATTAGACACCGTAAGATAGAACGTGATTTTACATTTTAGTCTAGAAATTCCAAATCGGACTTCGTCAATGGCCCATGAACTTTTAAATTTTGATTATATGGACTAGAAAAGTCATTGAATTTGAGCTGTAGTGCACCCACCAGTTGTCAGTAACCAACATCTGTGATTCAGTGTCGCAGTTTGCAGGTCGCCAGACGCCAGGACATCAAGCTAGTGGAAGTACAACCACCAGGTAAAAAAATTCATATATGCTTCTGAAATTATCGGCCCAAGTAACAAACTGTACTCAAATATTTGCCGCAGGGTAACTTTACGAATTTCAAGCGACAACAAACTGTCTGCCAGAGTAAACACGACATGCTTCTGAAACTCAGGAACCTGAACTTTAACCAACATCCAAGCAAGCAAAATCTTTGTGAGAACTCACAAAATTATGTCGTCTCGAACTATTATTTTTCACCATGTTCGCTGATGCTGAAATTTGATTTATGCTGATGCTTATGCTTAAATGTTATAAGAGTAAATCACTGTTTCATAGGCTGAAAAAAAGTTCTAAATAAGCTCAAGCGAACCGGGTGAATTTGTATCTAGTCTCCGGTGAAAATCTTGGTACATTTTTGCGTGATCTATTCGAGCAAATTATTAAGGAAACATCATCCAATACATAACAAATAACCTCGCAAATCGACCACACAGTATTGGCGCATCAGCCTACGTTCGTACATCACATCACCAGTAGATAACACGCGCGCGCCTCATTACGCTACTACACTTGTTTAAGCTGCGGCATCTGATATCGCCAAACCGAACGACGAGCACGTAGCCATCACCATACTACCATACGTATTAGAGTATTCAGACGAACGCCGCGGCGCGGCGCTCAGGCGACCTGCAGCGCGGTACCGAGCGCGGCGCGGAGGCTGTCGATCTCGTCCCTGGGCAGCACCACCGTGACGAGGCGGCCGCGGCCGTCGGCGTCGGGCTGCACCAGCACGGCGCCTTCCTCGCCGACGCCGTCCATGCCGTACTCCACGTGGACCGGGCGCAGCCCCTTGATCTCCAGCGCGTACACGTCCACCTGCTCCATGTCCACGAGCGTCAGGTTGGCGCCGCCGTACACGAGGACGTCCCCCTGGAACGCCGCCACCGCGGCGGTCTCGTCGACCACGTTCTTGGCCAGCAGCGCCGCCAGCTCCGCGACGTCCGTCTTCGCCGGCGACGACCCCGCCGATGCCACGTACCCGACCGTCATCTCGTTGGCCAGGGACTTGCCGCTCCGCGCGGCCGCGCCGGTCCTGACCACGGTCACGGTGTCCACGTCGCCGCCCCTGATCTTCGCCACCGTCTGCCACGCCAGCGCGGAGACGAGCTCGAAGGTGCCAGCGGCCGCGTCGTGGCGACCCTTCTGCTGCTGCTGGAGCTTCTTGAGAACTTCGTCGCTGACGTGGAAGGAGTAGCACGCCATGTCGCGGCCCGCGGAGACCAGCCAGTGGTCCTCGATGGGTCCGACCTGCTTGACGGAGCGCGGCGCCGTCACGCCCTCGGGGGACTGCCCCTGCACCGGCTTGTTCAGCGGGGTGAGGACGGTGTCTTCCGGCTTCTTGCCGCTCAGGATCTGCGCCCACTTGTTGAAGCAGGTGACGGCCGACGGCACGTCGCCGATGAGGTGCGCCCAGCTGAACCCCAGCGCCAGCCCGCCGCATTTGAAGATTGTGATCTGCGAGCAAAGCACGATTGTGACTGCACCTTTTTTTTTTAAAAAAAATGGTGATTGGTATATGGATGGAGAAGGGTGGGTCTGGTGCAAGCGGTAGAGTCTTATTGTCTGTGACCGGAAGGTTCCGGGTAAGTCGCGGTCTCCTCGCATTGCACAGACGAAGGTAAGACTTGTCACTGACACCCTTTTTCAGACCCCGTACGGAGCGGGAGCTCTCTTGCACTGGTACGCCTCTTTTTTTTATATGGATGGAGCCGGTAATGATTTTTTTTTGAAACGTGTGAGATCCTAATGCCGACGATAATGCAACGCATTGGCCCTACACGAAAACGGCAGATCCTAATGCACCACCCGACTGGGCGGCGATCCATGAACCCTACCCCGGTTGGGCAATTACGCTGGTTGTTTAGTGCTGGCACATTCATGTTCACTCGGGATTTGTTGTGGTCTTGTGGAGTTTAGTGAATAACTTCCACTGATGAAGTACATAGGCCTGCTTCGTGAACTCGATGTTTCTATCGATCGGCTTCATTAGTTTTTGTCTCAGGGTAAGGCAGTACACCATCCGTCCCAAAAGAATGCAATTGAACGGTATCATTTTTTAGTGTACCAAATTTAATTAATTATAAATAAAAAATATATATATATATATTTATAATATCACATAAATATCATTAGATTAATTACGAAATGTATTTTCATAATAAATTAATTTAAAGTCATAAATGTGAACATTGTTTACTAAAAACTTGCTCAACCGTAAAACACTTCAGTTGATACGCAAACTATAGTTACGTCCTTTTCTTTCCAGTACAGAGGTAGTACGTACTACGAGTGAGTGAATTGATTGCTGCAGGGCTGTGAGTATTATGAGAACTGAGACTTCTCACAGGACTGTTGATAGAAATGGCTGTGCCTAGCAAGGTACTGATCTTTGCTTCAGCAAAGTTGGACAAGGTGCAGTTAAGACCGCTGCTGATCTATTGGCATCTCCTTATATTCCTGAATGGAGTAATGTACTAGTAGTAGACTTGTGGCAGTAGTACCAGGTACAGTACTACAGGGAAAGGTTAAACTGATTGATTTGTTAATTTCGAGGAGTACTCCTATTATATTTGGTCATCTTTACAAGATCATTCATCTCAAGTCATCTGGCTGAATCCGGTTCTTCAAGAACACAGACTCATTTCCAATGAAACCACCGTCCCATGCTTCAAGTTCCATTTACCACCTGATTCGCGTGAGCCACCGCCTCCCGGAACCTAAGAACAACAGCGTCCGCTTCTAGTTTATTAAAAAAAAACAGCGTCCGCTTCTACTGTCAACTACTCAACTACACCAGCGGCAGCTGAATGAACGCCGGTACGTCGGTGCGTCCACCCTCCACCGCCCCCGGCCCCGGCCCCCGGCCACTGGACAGCCAACAGACACTACACAGTTGACAGTTGTGGCAGATGACGAGGGGTTGCAGTCGGTGACCAGCTCTAGGTGGCCACTGGACAGTGGTACGTAGTATAAATGTCTGATGGTTAACAGGTACGACCGGACACAATTAAAAGCTTGCTCAACTGCACTGCCCGGAACCATACTGAAAGTGAAAGCTACAGCTGCATCTCCTTTTTCTCACCAGGAATCAGGCAGCCAGCGATGCCAGAAATCGACCACTTCTCCAGCTCCGACAGCAACCTCACTGATTACTCAAATTTAGAACGTTTTCACTCATTCATGATTTATTTACTCCTTTCGCGCGCTCACCAACTCCAAATTAACTACTATTATGGTTAGATGTGGAAAAGATTACTACGTACCTGGACGTAGAGCAGCGGCGAGAAGAAGAGCTCGGGGCCGAGCACCTTGTCGTAGCAGAGCTGCCTGAGCCTGTCGGGCGCGTCGTCGCGGAGCCACTCGTCCATGTCGCGGTCGCACTTGGCCTCCACGATGCGCACGCCGCAGTCGTTGCACTTGATGTAGGGCCGGCGCGGCGCCCCGGCGTCCCCCTCCCCACCAGCGGCCTCCTGCTCGGCGCGGCGGACGCGGCCGGCGACGGGGAAGTAGTCGTCGAGCCAGGGGAACATGGGGTCCTTGAGCACCTTGGTGGCGAGGCCGCGCGCCACGTCCCCGGGCGGGTAGTAGTACACCCCGCGCAGGTAGTGCAGCTTGAAGGCCAGGTCCGCGTCCGCCAGCGCGTAGTCCACCTCCCCCGTCACCGAGCTCGGCACCACTGTGGAGAGGCGGTGCCCGTGCACCGCGCCCGGCGCCACCTCCTCCTGCTCCTGCTCGAACACCATGCTGCCTTGCTTTGCTTTGCTTGTACTCGGCTGGCGGCGCCCGGGTGTCAGGTGCTAGCGGCGGCGGCGGCGCGCGCGTATATGCATATGCCCCTCGGTGGACGCTTGCGGCCCGCGGATATATAGCCGAGGGCCGGAAACGCTGTGGCCGGTGCAGGGGTAAATGCCGGTGTCTGGCGGCCTGGCGGTGGGTCATCAGCATCACAGCCGAACAGAGCAGGCAGAGGTGGCGTTTTTAAATTCGGGAGCGAGTTGGTTGGGAGCTCAACCCAACGGCGGCGATGGGTGACGGGATGACGCCGAGAGCCCGATCGAGACGGCGATGGGTGAGCGCGAGCCAGTGGTCCGTGGCCGTACGTACGCCGGCCGAAAGCGGCCGCGATGCGAACGACTGCGCTCACTCAGTCACTCGCGCATGCTCTTGACACTGTTGCCGATCGGCAGATAACAGCTCAGTTTGTATCGTGACAGCGTTCGGTACCCGCGTGTTGAGTCCGGGCCCGATTGCTCGGCCGAAAGAAAGGGCAGCAAAAGAGAAGAGAGTGGCATAGTAAGTAATTTGGAGTACTAGTAGATTGGTACAGTTGCCCAGCCCGAGATTGTATTTACGAGTGGGATCGGATCGTTGGTCATACAGGTGCAAGCTAGACCCCACAAGCCGAGCAGCAGTACCCTGCCTGTCTCCAACACACAACGCACAAGTGCTGCTGGCGATTCCAACATTCTACTAATCCCGGGTAATTACTCGAGCAGCAGTACCCTGTGATAGACTAGACAATTAAAGTAGTACAGTGCTATTGTTCGTAGAGTTTCTTTTTTGTCTTTTGTTGGGCTGTATTGCCATGTGCATGCAGCCTGGTGGTCTTTCTTTAGTCACTACTCCGACTTTTTGGGTCGGATCTAGTACATAGCAACTTCCAGTTAGTTCGGAACTCTAGCTTGTAGTCAAGCTGCTGCGCTACAAGACAAAAATAATTAGGCCAGAAAAGTTCAAATGTTATTATTAATTTTTGCACATTAACGACTTTAAATGAAAAAAAAAAAACTAAAACTAGAAAGTTGTAGATCTCGTCGAGATCTATAATTTTCATATAAAAATTATTTTCATTTAATTCCGCAAAAAAAATATGATTTGATATGATTAATATATCTTAGAAAAATCATCATATTTTTTTCGGAATTAAATGAAAATAATTTTTATATGAAAATTATAGATCTCGACGAGATCTACAACTTTCTAGTTTTGAGTTTTTTCATTTGAAGTCGTTAAGATGCTCAAAAAAAATTAATAACATATTTGAACTTAAGGGCATTTTCGGTTTTTCACACTGCAGCTTGACGCACTAGAGCTGAACTCGACGGAAGGTGGTACACCATCCATCCCCAAAAATCAAGTAGTGGCCAGCTTCGAAGACCGCTAAATTTTTCTGAGGAGCAAACTGCGAAATTACGATCTTTATAAATTATATATACACAGAAAAAAGTTTCTTTAAAGTAGTACAGTGCTATTGTTCGTAGAGTTTCTTTTTTGTCTTTTGTTGGGCTGCATGCCCGTGCCTGGTGGTAACTACTGACACAGGCCACAGCGCCGCTGTAGTTGTTTGCCTTTGCCGTGCCAGATCGGATCTAGTACGAGCATAGCAACAAGAAAAGCAGGGTCCGGCGAGGGAACGAACGAAAGGAGGGGGGCCGGGCCTGCACGCGCTGCGCTGCACCATAATAATTATTAATTAGGCCAGAAAAAACGGGTGCGTGCCACTGGATCACTGCTCGGGGCAGGTCTGGTACTCTTCTGCAAGGGATAGAGGGCTGTGCGTGTGCCTGCCTCATAACAAGGCACGGTACTGTACTAGTCGTCGGCAAGCAAGTAGTACTACTCGTGTAGCGCCAGGTTCAGGGCATGCAAAAGGAGAAATTATTCAATAATAAAAGCGGGTACCGCGTTTAGTTGGCCACCGGATTCGGTGCCGGCTGAATCTGCGCCACTGTAGCTACACTGTAGCGTTTTGTTTTTATTTAGTAATAATTGTCCAATCATTGACTAATTAGGCTCAAAATGTTCGTCTCGCAAAGTACAACCAAATTATATAATTAGTTTTTGATTTCGTCAACATTTAGTACTCCATACATATACCATAAGTTTGATGTGATGGGAAATCTTCTTTTTGCATAGTGCCAAATTCTAGAATTTGAGGCAACTAAACATGGACATGCACCTGGACGAACGTACGTACGTACGTACACATGATAGATCTACCTCGATCTGTTTGCAGTTTGCACGCACGGGATCTACCTCTGTTCGCGCGCTGTAAACTTTAAGGCCGCTTGCCCGCTTTGATTTCACCCGAGGACCGCTTGTGTAGTTGTGTGAATTGTACGTAATGGACAAGCACGATCAGGTGAAGCTCATGGTTTCTATGCTTATAAGCCGACTAAAACTGATTTGTTGTGAGAGAACCGATAAATCAGGCTAGTAAGTTGAAGCGAACAGAGCGGTTATCGTTAACGCATACAGTATGTGGACTGCGCAGTCTGCAGAGGTGGTTCACCATCCATCCCCTCAACAATTTGCTATACATACACATATCCTGCGATCGACGATCGATCGGACTACGCAATCAGATCACGGTTACCGAGGAGCAAACTGAGGAACAAGAGATTCAGAAAACATGCATGATTATATATCCAACAGACAAATGTATGTGCAAATTAATTAGAGCAAGCAGTACATCAGCTCATTAGTAGTGCCTGCGAACTGCGATCTACTCCATCCAAGACAGCTTGGCAGCTGCTTCTAACTAGCACACGTATACAGCCTGTTCGTTTCATCGTAAACGATCATGTATTATTTACTGTTGACTGATTTGGTGTGAGAAAAAAATATTGTTCCAACTTATAATCCGCAATCGTATACGAGAAAGCGAACAGCCTGATACTCCGCAGACAGCAAGAGGGCCGGGAGACGATTCAATCCGCATCGGCATCGTCAGTTGCCAGTTGGTCATCAGCATGTAGTTCGATTGTGTGAGTGTGACCACCGGAACGTAGGCGCATGAACCACGCACGCACAACGGCACAAAAGGACAGGACAGGACGAACCGGGGGTTGGAAGTTTGGAAGCTGACCACCACTGATCAGATCATCAAACTGTACGTACATACGTCTTTATATATCGCCCCTTTCGCTTGCCTTATAAATCGTACTTTTTCAATCAATGAATAATATTTTTCTCTCACAACAAATCAGTCAACAGTACTTTCAACCATGACTTATCAGCCAAATGAATAGAGCAATATATCCAGACAAATGCATGTGCATATATACCAGCCACAGACGCGCCGTGACAGTGATCGCTGACCGGCCGCCGGATTCAGTTAGCAGGTGACGATGGGTTGATTGGAGCAGCTCGCGACGCACGAGGGTCTTCTCCCGCCGCATGCCATCGCCGTCGTCGGCTGCTACACAGTTTGCAGATAGCAATACTGCTATACTCGTAACATGTTTCTTGTGCCTCGTCGTACTCTTCGACTCTTGTGCGTCAAGACGATCACCTCCAAGACTATAGCTCTGTTCGCTTTGCTGAAAAGTCATAACTGAAAATACTATTTGCTGATTTGTTGCAAGAGAAAAATACTGTTTATTTGCTAAAATAATACGGCTCATAAGACAAACGAACATGGCCTATAACTTGTCCTCATCGTTTAACTGGCCACTCCGTCTTATCTTACTATCTTATCTACTGTTACTAATTACACACCGAAAGTACTTCACGCCCATTCTACAAGAATATGCGAGGGGGGAAAAGTTAAATTGCAAAGATTCTCACAAAATAAAAAATATAAACATTACTAGCTTGGTATACTCTAGTCATTATCTAGACTAGAGGAAAATGTGTGTGCTTGTGTAGTTGTGTCAAGTCGAGAACTCATAACACAAATGGCAGGTTCTACCACAAGAAACTTATGCTCAATTCGCTAAAATGTTTACAACATTTCCTTTATGAATATATGAAAATAGACTGAACTAGCTCATAAATCTATATTCAACTATTATCATACATGTCATTATTTTAAAAAATAACACAAAATAACCTTAATCTAAAATTACTCACTCGCGCCATTGCAAAAACTAATGTAAAGTAGATCATAATTTTGCATATTAACCGTCCACCTCCGTGATAGTGAAAACCGGCATAAAGGAAACCCCTATATATATTGTTGTTATCATAAAAAGATAACAGTTGCACTTCTGCATGCTTCTATTAAATTATGTATTTCTCGTCTACTTTCTCTGTCCCCTTTGAACTATCGTTCTCACTTTTTAATAAGCCAAACGCACTCACCTTCCAGAGGTATGGTATGGTCAATCACATGTGCCCACCGACGTTCGGTTTTGTTCACGGGCCAGGTTAAAACTTAAAATGACCAAATATTATAGGCCATCAAGTCACATCCGTCTGACCTTGGCAAACAACCTGCAAAGCGAGCACCCTGTCTGTTCCATGCCAAACGCCCAAACCTGAATCTCTGACAGAATATATGGAAACTTTTTTCCACCAAGGCAAAGCCAAATTTCATTACTTGACTTGACAACAACGAAATTACAATAGTTTGTAACAATAGAAAACAAACTAAACAAACCGCAAAAAGCCACATTGGCTTGAGCACAGAGGGTTCAACCAATTGGCGCAAACCCGAACTATGACCCTGAAACACGTTAGCCCGCAACGAAAAGCTGTTGTTTGAAACACCTGTTAACAAAACTCAGACGTACATTAACCAAACAATTACCAGATTAGGTTCGCACATAAAAGATAATAACAGACATATCGCTTCATATGATGCACTTGTTAATCATCATCACTTAGCTAGCTGGACCGTAGCATCTATCAAGCAGCCATTTAGCCAGGATCTCATCTAACAGGCTGCATATAAATAGTTCTTAGGAAGCATCTGCATGGCCGAAAATCTAGGATGCTTCGTTTTGGTGATTGTTGTGGA